CTTTCCTCATTTCTTTGCTGCCCCAATTAGGTCTGTCCCTGAGGCCATGTGGATCATAGAAAGGAAAAAGAAGTCTTAAGGAAGAGGGGGAAACACTAATACAATTTAACTGACATGAAAGCAGATTAGGGTCTATTATGGGGGAGGGACCAACAGGAAGCTGGTAGGGGAAGGGGTAGTGGCACTGGGGAGGAAGACCAAAAAAGAAGATATGCTGTAAGGAAACCTATTACTTAGTATGCTAATTAAGAAAAGTGCTTTAAAAGATTCCTTTTCAATGTAGGCACCAGCTCAACCTCTCCACTTTCAATGAGTTGTGTGGGAATTGTAGCCTTGCTGTCAGTTTGTGGAACAACCTACAGTCTTGGGGAAAGTCTGGGTTGTTTTGTGATTTCCTTGGGATCCCTAGGATGTAACCCAGTCCTGGTGCTGGAAGCTTTGTTTGGTGACAAGAGATGGCCAGTTGGAACTACATCTCCCTCATTCTCTGGAAGCTTCATTAGGATCCCCTTCATATGTTTTAGGAAGTTTGCATTGCCCTGGGTTTCCATAGTGACCCTCAAATCTAGCTATCTTTCCCCACATTCCCTCCTTCAACCCCATTTCCCATTCAGTTCTACATTCTAGTGTCTTTAGTATGGAAAGGTACTCTGCAGGCTACTGAAACAGAAATGTAAGCACCGATCCAGCCACAAACCCTTTGATCTACAATGCTGTCCTACCTGCAAAATATGCTAGTGCAATGGTGGCATAAAGCTTATGGGAGTAACCAACCAATGCCTGATTTGGCTAAGGTCCACTTCACTAGATGGAACCCATATTCAATACTGCTTGGGTGACCAAGAACCTAAGACGAGATAGGCTAGGGACCTAGGGTAAATTGAAATAATACTGGTCTTAAAAGAAAAAAAAGTACTGATAGAATGGCCCCTAATGACATTCTGCTATACTCATAGATCAGTTCCTTCCTTATCCATCATCAGAGAAGGTTCCTCCTGCAGCAGATGGGGACAACTACAGATATTTGCATTCAGACATTACACAGAGAAAGAGACCTTGGAACACATAGCTCTAAATGGGAGGTCTCCATCAAATCCTTTCCCTCAGAGCTGCGGAAGAGGAGGCAGAAAGAATGTGAGTCAGAGGGGATGGAGGACACCAGGAGAATAAGGCCCTCTAAATCAAGTAAGCAAAGCTATATGAACTCACAGGGCCCGCAGCTGCAAGTACCAGACCTACTTGAGGCTGGTCTCAAACTCATAGAGATCCGCCTGCCTCTGCCTCCGGAGTGATGGGATTAAAGGCATGTGCCAACATGCTCAGCTATTTTCTCTACTTTCTATATACCAAAACATTTTTATGGTACAAAAGAAGCCATGGGCACTATCTCAGGTGTGGGCCATCTCTTAGGGGCTGAGTAGACATATACTTCCCCCGTCCCCTTTCTCCCAAGGTATTCTTGTTATTCACTAAAGAGGGTCAGTGCCCCAGATAAAGAAAAGTAATCCCACAGTGAGATGAATTTCAGGCATCTCTACCAGGTATTGTTGTCATTTTTATTTCTTACTAAGTTATGTAAATAGTAAGTCAGCTGTTCTTCAGGAGACATTTACAATCTGCTTGTCTCTCTAATGATTGAGAACATTTTCTGATTCCCATAAACATATTGCTTGACCCAAGTTGTGCTTGTCATTGTTGATGGTGGTGGTCAAGGTCTTCCTTCTCCTCCTCTTCCTCTTCTTCCTCCTCCTTCTCTTCTTCTTCTTCTTCTTCCTCTTCCTCTTCTTCCTCTTCTTCCTCTTCTTTTGAGATAAGTTCTGGCATTGTAGCCCAAGCTGTCCTGGAACTCACATTGTACCTTATGCTGGTCATGAACTTGTGGTCATCTTCCTGCCTTTCCCTCCCAAGTATTGGGATTACAGGCAGAGTACCATGCCTGGCTGGTTGAATATGTCCTTATTAAGTCTGAAAGGATGACTTTAATATAGCCTTAGTATGATTTGTCTAGATTTCTTTGAATTTCAATTTGTTGCGGAGGTTCTTTCCCTCCTGGTCCCACAACCCTGGAGCCCCAAATAAACACATGGATGCTATATTAGTTATTAAACTATTGACTGGTGGCTAAGACTTTTTATTGACTATCTCTGTCTTAATTATTAACCCATAACTACTAATCTATGTAGTTCCATGTGGTCTTATCTCACCAGAGAAGGGTCCGGATCTGTTACTCCTTTGGTGACCTACATGGTGACTGTTCTGGCATGGGTGGAGAGGGTTGGAGGGTTTGGGGAGTTGTTTGCCTACTTTTCCCAGAATTCTCCTCACCCTAGTCCCACCTATCTTCCTGCCTCATTGGTCAGACAGTGTTTTATTCATCAACCAATAAGAGAAACATATATACAGACAGACTTAAGGACTTCCCCCATCATCAGTTCTAAATAAAATGGAAGGAGGACAGGTTTTCTTCCTATATTGTATCTTTTGCTACCTCTCCTTTCTTCAGGTAGTATCATTTTTCTTTCTTTTTCTCTTTTTTGTAATTTTTTTGTTTGAGACAGGGGTTCGATATGTAGTCTTGGTTGCTCTGGAACTCACTCGGCAGACCAGGCTGGCCTTGAACTCAGAGATTCATCTTCCTCTGCCTCCCAAGTGCTGGGATTAAAGGCGTGAACAATCACGGGCTGGCTTACCAGTGTCATTTTTCTAATCTTTACAGTATCAAAGAAAAGCAATAAAACAAAAGTGGCATGTATGCTTGTAACTCCAGTGATGATCAGAAATGTAGATGGGAAGTTTGCTGGAGCCTGCTGGCTGCCAGCCTAGCCAAAAACCAAAAACTGTTGGTTCAGGAAGAGACTCTGTCTCAAGAGAATAAGGTAGAGAGCAGTAGAAGATACTCAGCATCCTCTTTGGCTTTTGAGTGTACACTTAAGCATAACACCCACACGCAACAAAACAAAAATATAAAAAAGAAACCTCGTATATTAAACACACGTGCATGGTTACTAATTAGAGTCATGAAATGCTTTTATTAGGGCAAGTTGATTTAAGTAGAGCACATAACTTAAAAGTTTTGAAAACTGCAGTGATGTGTTCTCAGACATTACATAACTTAATCTGGGAAGGGCTTTGGGGAGTGGACAAGTTACTTTGAGTACCATCTAAAGCCTTATCAAATACAGCATATTCATTCCATTGGAAAAAATATCCTTGGAAAAGACTTAATACGTGACTCTTTCTTCCATAATATGTATTGAAAAATTTAGCCCTGACTGCAAACAATAAAAAGCTAAACTTGTTTTAAAATTTTTAAGTAGCTAAGGAAACATCTTGACTCAGAGAAATAACTAAATCTAGAAGACTACTTCAGGCTTAGCTCGAACTGTTTCACAATATGTCAGCTTCCCCATCAGGCCAGCTTCCTTCATGGCAGCAGAGTGGTTTCAGTAACTCTGTCCAGCCATCATCACAGCAGCCAGAGTGAGAAAGACTTCTTTTCACTCTCCTCCAAACACAGATGTGCCTGGCCTTCTTCAGTGGCTAATATTGTCAGTTCGACAGGATACAGCATTATCTGGGAGACAAGACCCTGGGTGTGCCTGTGAGGGATGATCTAGATTAGGTTAACTGAAGTCAGAAGAGCGACTTTAACTGTGAGGCAGCACCCTTCTTTGGCCTGGGGTCTTGGACTGACTAAAAAGGGGAAAGTGAGGGAAACACTAACATTTGTTGTCCCTTTTGTCAAATAACTGCTCCACTTAGAAGGCAGAAACTGTGGCTTTCTTGTGTGTTGATTTTCTCAAAGAGCGCGGTTCAGTATCTGCTTCTTGCACATTTACAAAGAGACCCTGAAAGCTTGGAAATCAGCAGATGATTTGTGTCACTTAAACCCTAACTTTATTAGGAATCAAACTTAAGGCATCCATTGAGTCAGGTTCAGGGTTAGAAAGGCTCTCAGGGTACAGAACTTAACAAAAGTACCTTCTGGAAAGGACCCAACAGGGAGGGAAAACCCAAATTAGCTGGAACACTCTTGCTATGACCCAGCATCTGTAGGCATTTAACATTAAGAAAAACGAGAAAAGAAACTTGGGTTTGAAAGCTGGTTGACAAATGTTACATTTCTGAGTAGCTTTTGGATCTGGGTTTGCAATAAGGACAGGGCAATTGAAGTTATTTAACAAAAGAGAATTTTCAACTCAAGAAGCCATTCTAGAGCTTAAATCGCTGGATACATTCAACTCAAACAATAACATTTTCGGAATACTTCCTAGAAGCCAGGTAGGATTCATCCTGAACGACACAGAAATGAACGAAGTAGGTCCTTCTGGAATCTCTAAAATATTTCGCAGATTAAGGTTACATATATAGGTCATAAACTTAAGGAAAAAGTGTCTTACGAGAGTCAGGGAATGGACAGGTCATTTCTGGTTGCTTGATCTAGAAAGAAAGATATTTACAATTCAAAGATCAGCACACCATTTGTGGCAGAAAATAGATACTACTGAAGGATAAAAGGTGAGACCCTGTTGCCTTCACAGCAGTGTTCAGCGCTTTCCTATGTGCTTGCCTGAGTCTGGAGGAACCAATCGACAGGGATGCTTCGGAGCACAGAGACACCTTCAAAGGGCGAAGAGTAAGAGTCCCGTGGAAAAGTTAGTCCGAGGTGACTTATTGGCTGCACAGACTGGAAGTATCTAAAACAGGTTTGTAAGGAAAGAGTCTCCTCAAAAGGGAATTCTCTTAGAACTCAGCCACTGCTAGGGCTGATTGGCAGGCGCCAGCACGAGGGCCTCGCGCGCCTCTCCTCTTTTTGCTCGCCTTCGGTCAGGTTTATACTCGGCGCTCTCGGGGCCAAGCGGGGTCAGGCGGGGTTGTGTACGCGCGTGCGCGCCGCCGCCTTGGGCAGAGAAGGCGCCTCCGCCCTCGGGAGCGCGCACGCCGCGCCGAGGGGGACGGGCGCGCGCGCTCCCGCCCGCCTCCTCCTTAGTCCGCCCCCTCCCTCGCCTCTTCCTGCCGGGCGGTCCTCTCCGCTCCTCAGCCCGCTCCCTCCGCCCCGCTCCCTCCGCCCTCCTGGGGTTCGGCGGTGGCGGAGTGAACGGGACGGGCCCGGTCGCGGAGCTCTGGGCGGCGGGTGGGACTCGGACGTCTGACAGAGTTGTTGTTCCGGCAGCGGCCGCGGAGACGTGAGGTGAGGGGAAGACGGCCTTCGAGGGGCCCGAGGGCGGCCTGACGGCCCGGAGCCGCCGTCCGGTGGGTCTGGGGGTTCCGGACTGGTCTAGAGAGGGTCCGGGTGCGAGGCCCGGCCCTGGACCGGGATGCTGGAGGACCAGGGCGGAAGGCATCGGCGAGCTCAGTGCCGTCGGCCGCCTCCCGGACACCCGGGTTCTCCGGGTGGCTGCTCGTCGCGGCGGGGCCGCCGGCGGGAGGCGGGGTTGGCGCCCCTCACCTGGGGCGGGGTGGTGGCTTGGGCGGCCGCCGCCTCCAACTGTGCTCTCCTGACATTGCTGCCGCCCCCGCCGCCGGCTGCCGGGATGTGGCTGCTGCCGGGCTCTCAGTCCCAGCAACCCCGAGTCCAGGGGGCGTGTGGACAGGGTTATTTTCTTACCCGCTTGAAAGCGTCTGTTGGATCCCGTGTCTTTCCCTGGCTCTTCCCCTTCCTCCGCCCCGCGCACTTTGCTCCGTTCCTGCTGGCGATGCTTGTGGTTTTACTGTCTGGGATAGACTGTTTTTTGGGGGGGCTGATCTCTACCTGCAAGAAATGCCCTGCTTCAAAGTTGACCGCGTGGGCCGTGACAGACACCCATCCACACCCCCGCGCATGTTGTGGGTGCTCCGTGTCTTGATAACCGACTCAAAGTTTCTGAGACTGGGCTAGTACTTTGCTCCGATCGCCAACGGTGCAAGGCTGGGCAGTGCGTCAGCATGTGGAAAGGGGCCACTGGCCATCGCGGGGAGGTGGCCAGGAGCTAGGGGGCTGAACTGACAAGAGTTCCTTTCTGATCGCAAGACAGTTTCGTTCAGGTGCTTGTGTATTTTCTTTGGACTTCTCAGAGTTAGTTGTACCAGAAAAAGACTCAAATTTAGGCGATCGTTTTTCAGAATTGATGGTATTATGCAAATAAAATGAACCGCTTACCTTTCGTTGATGGTAAGGACTTGCTTGACATGTTTAGTGCTGTTTGAGAACTGGTTCCAAAGCCTGCGTTTTTGTCACTGGAAGATTTAGATAACTTTGATGCATTTAAATTTTCTTGTGTATGAGAAGAGGTAGGTAGTTGATTGTTACAATTCAGAGAACACAATTTCATGAAAACCGAATACTTTTCTTCTAGTGGTGTTTACATTTGACATGCGCTGCACTTCTGTAGAATATCCAAGTAGTTATGGTCAGAAAGTCAAGACATGAAGTTTGTGGTCAAATTGGAAGAGGGTTTTGCTGGTGGAAAATACTAGTTAATAAGCTGCTAGGAAAGGGAAATTGGCCTGTGATTAATTATATTGGTTTAGTGCTCTATAAGAAACTGACAGTGAGGTTGCAAAGAAGAAAGGCTAGATGAATTTAATGTATACATTATTACAGAATTGTACTGCTTGGGAAGCTAGCTAAGACTTTGAGTTAGATTGATGCCCATACTAAATTAGTTCAAGATGTACTCTAATATTACTAAATCATCTGGGGGAGAAATAGATGTGGTTGTGCATGGCTTATCTGTGAGATATTGTAAAGCTTAATTTGTGCTCTGGGAAACTGCAGACAAGGTAAGGTCCAGTACTGTTGCGTGCTGTTGAGGCAAATAGTAAACATACATACTAGGTGCAAAAGTTATGTCTGGAGATCAGTTTCTTTCTTTCCTTCTGTTTTTAAACATGTAATGAAAAGTTTTATATGTTATGTTTGTGCTGTTCTGAGAATTTTTGGTGTTTGATCATTGCCTTATGATTTATAACATTTTTTATTATTTGAGAGATTATACTGTTTTTGTTTGGATACTTACTATTTTTAAAAATTTTATTTAATTTTATGTGTATGAGTGTTTTGTCTCCATGAATGTCTATGTACCCTTTCTGTGCCTGGTGCCAGAGGAGGCCAGAAGAGGGCATTAGATTCTCGGAGTTGTTAGCACCATGTGGGTCCTAGAATTGAAGCCAGGTCCTTTGAAGGAACAGCTAGTGCTCTTAAGCTGCTGACCTGTCTTCTAGCTGTATTTACTGATTTCTTGAGACAGAGTCTTATGTGGTAGCTCTGACTAACCTGCAACTCACTAGGTAGCCCACCCTGACTTTCAACTCTTTAATTTCTTCTGCCCCACCCTTCTAAGTGTTGGGAATATGGACACAGACCACCAAGCCCAACTGTATTTGTGTTTCACTGACAAAATATTATTAAGCATGAGAAACAAGAGTTTTCATTTTCATTTTTATCAGCTCATCAGTTCTGAATTAGTTACTTTTGAAAACTTTTCTTTGCCTCTCCCAAAACTTGAAATGGTTTCATTGCTGTGTATTTATTTGAACTCTTAGATACTGGAGTGAAGCTGAAAGTCCTGGGGCTGGGGGAGTAGTGAAAAGAGGAAATTCTGTTGTTCCAAGTACAGATATTATGTGGGAGACATTAACAGCCTTCTAGATACTGACTTTGAAGAGAGGAGCAGTTAGGTATCAAAATCTCTTGTGTAGAACTAGGACTTCAGCCTACCATTTTCTTTTTGAAAATTGTTTGGAGATATGTTTATTTGTTTGTTTGTATAAGTGCTTTGCTTGCATTTATGTACACCATGGTGTGTGTGTGTGTGTGTGTGTGTGTGTGTGTGTGTGTGTGTGTGTGTGTGTGTATGTGTGTGTGTGTGTACCTGGTGCCCCTGGAGGTAAGAGGTATCACTTCCCTCGTATCTGTAGTTAAAGATGGTTGTGAGCTGCCATTTAGGTTAGGTTCTGGGACTTCTGCAAGAGCAACATGTGCTCTTAATGTTGAACCAGCCTTCTGTCCCTGAGCCACCATTCTTGAGTGGTATGAAGATGAGGATGTTAGGAGATTGAAGTCAATACTGTAGCCTTTGGGAGTCTCAAAACAGAGAGCACCCCACCCTATGTCTTATAAGTTTCAATTAGTTTTTCCATGTTTATAACATCTTTTAAACATTATTTTAAACTTTATTATAAAATGTATTACCAAAACAAAACAAGAAAAATATCAGACATTGAGATTAATCAAACCCAAAGTATAATTTCTTGTCTCATATAAATGATTCAACCTGGGGGTTTGAGGATGATCGTCAGCCAAAGACTGAATATAGGACTTTTTTTCTTTCTTTTTCCTAGTCTAGGGTTCCAGTTTACTCTGTAACCTAGCCCAACTTTGAACTTGTGATCCTCTCTGTTTTTTAAGCCCTGGACAACTCAGGGATTTCTCCATAGATAGTCTTATCATCATTTGCCATGACAAGTGGGAACAGAAAAAATGGAGTTGTACCTGAGTAATGAAGATATGCTCCTTATAATTTTATTTAAAAAGATCTATTTATATGTGTGCATGGTTTGTTCACATGTCTGTCTGTGTATCACATGTGTGCCTGGTGCCCTTGGAGTTCAGAAGAGGGTGTTGGATTCCTTGGACTTGGAATATGGATGGTTGTGAACTACCACATGGTGCTGGGAATCAAAGCTGAGTTCTCTGCAAGGACAAGTGCTTTTACCACCTGAGCCATCTCTCCAGCCTGATATGCTCATTTTGTTTTGTTTTGTTTTCTTGACTGCTGTCTTCTCAGAGTAGGCATTAGTTTTGACTTTAATATTTGAATTGGGTATAAGTATGTGGACATTAGTGAATCCTAGTAAGTAACAGTTAATGGAATTAAGTAGACTTACATTTCAACATTTTCTTTTTATGTATTTTTTTACTTTCCATATTGTCTTTATCCAGCCAACAAAATGTCACAATTGTTTGAATATATCAAGTTCATACTCATGCTGACTCATTTTTGGATTTTTTAAAAAAATATATTGGGGGATTTTCCTAGGAAGTCTGTAGGCATATTTTTAAATTGATTTAGAGTTAGATTTGGGCTAAGATTGTTAGTGTGCTTGAAATTTTGAGCCTTATTTTCTAAATAGTCTTAAAAATAGAAAACACACTTTTTATAAATACTCATGAAAAATATGGCTACAGGCAGATTTTTGTTGTGATAGACATAGTACAGCCAAAAATACATGTAGGAAACTAATTTGTTCCTTATCCAGTTTAGTATGCCTAAGTGAAGTCAGAAAAGTATTTCAACAAAACTTGGTTTCTCAGCGTATGGAGTCTAAACAGTAGTTTGTGAATTATGATTTCACTTGCCTGTTTTAAGCTCAACAAGTACTAAGAGTAAATTAAGTAAAATCCTAATTCTAATATGGGATTCTTAATAGTAGAAGTCCCATTGGAAGATGCAAGCTTGTGTTGAGAATTTGGGGAAAATTAGGATTGAAAAACTTGCTTTTTTTTCTGCACTGGTTTTTCTCTGTAGGCTTCTCAGGTGGTTGGGGGCATTGGCACTAATACCAGAATCATGTGAGATTTTTGTTTTTCATAATATAGGACACTTGACAAAGGGAGCCATTGGTTTTAGTAGTGGTACTGTGTTAGGGTATTGTGTCCTTCAGGCATATGGATCTGAGCAAAGGCAGAGAACCTTGATCTTAGCTGGTAGTTTCTAAATTACATGCCTACTTCCTATAACTTATTTGCCTTACAGTGATGTCAATAGGTATCTGCTACTCTCCTTTTTAAAGAGAGAGATGAATTGTGATGAAGAGACATGTAACTATGAGTAAGGTTTATTAATTTATATACATGAAGGATACTGGAGTGATTGTTGTACTGAACATTTATTAAACTGTTTTCACTATACAGTTTGGTGAAATACTCCTTATCTTGTCAGGGCTGTGCTGATTGGCTACTGACTAGGAACAAAAATTGTTCATATCTCTTTCTACCTAGCTTTGTGTTCAGTGTCATATTGTCATAGTCTTGCTTAACTGGTCATAGTGGGATTATTTATACCACTGACAGTCAGCAAATAGTATAATTTGGACTCCCTGCTGTAGCTAATAGTTAAATGTAAAGCACATTACTGACTGTAAAACACCTGAAATATTCTTTTCATGGCATTTATGAAATGATGCTAGGATTTAACTTTACAATTAATT